AGTGTTTCACAGAATACACTGTGGTTGTAAAAGTAGAGTAAAACTAAGTTTCCAGCTGGCCATGAGGCTTCAGGATCACATCTCAAACCTCTCAGAGAAAAGTGTCCTGACTGGCCCCGGATTCTTGTGATGGATGTTAAATCCTAACATTTTTTATCCCTCTTGAAGAAGAGAAATATTTGTGTCAGAACTGCAGATTGTCTCTGGATTTTTAGGACTTTGTTGAACCAAAGACGAAAGAAAAAGCTTCCAGTTTGTTCATAGTTTTAATCCCTTTGAATACACTGCTGCAACAGCCTCAGCCTTTTAGTTCTGGTAAAACACAACATGATTCTACTCTTTCAGCTTTAAAGTTACTGTGGTGCCTACAGGAGATTCTAAGAATGTTATCAGTCATATGAAGGATACGATTGTGTGTGGCGTCTCTTATTAAACTGCTATCACACGTCGACCTCCTGACTGGCTAACAGGTCGACGTCTTTTGGCTGCTGGCTGATAGTTTGCACCGTTTTTCAGAGGCTGAGGATGGTTTCAAAACATGCATGTCATTCTTTTAGCCGACTCTAAAGGAAAATAAAGAGATAAGAGCGCTGAGGGATGAGGGAGAGCCGTGTTTCCCACAGACACGTCTCGCCATGGGTGGAAGAGTTACGTGAACGATGGTGTTTAAAACTTGATGCCTTCATGTAACTTTTGCAGAAAACAAAACAAAAAACTGTCTACAGATGTGATGCTTTGTGTCTTGAATGATTGTTTTTTATATTGATAAATTGTAGTGCTGTACCAAACGATTATTTTCTAATCGATTAATCTAACGATTATTTTTTCGATTAATCGATTATTCTAACAACAAATCTATAAGTTATTCTGATGTGAGTGCACTGGATATTTAAAATGTTTTCATCAAATTAACAAGAACAGTTCTTTAATATTGTAATATTTTCTGTAATAGTTTTTTCATGAACACAAAATATGCACTCTAGAGTCAATTCTTTAACAAAAAAAGCTTAAAAGATTTAACTTCAACATAAAATCTCAAAGCATATAAAATTCAACTAAAAGAAATATAGTGCAAGATGTTAACAAGCTAACAAATGAACTAAATCATGCAAAATTCAAGTCACTCTGGAAAAACTATAATAAACATTTATTTATTATTTTTTATTTAACATATTTCTCAATATATAAAAATTAACAAATATCAAGACAACATCCAACTCTTTGTATTGTAACATCAGTTGTGTAACTTATTTCTTTAAGGTGAAAACTGTTGAAAACAACAAGACTGTTTTGTCTTATTACACAAATTAAAATCCAGCTCCACGTGTTTCTATTGATGTCATTTCCCCACTAGAAACATGTGTGATGGAGGTCCATGGAAGGCAAATAAGTTTAAATCAAATAAAGAAAAGAGGATGCAGTTAAAATAAATCAAAGGTATTTAAGCTACGTTTTGAACATCCAGAACACGTCCAACACTTGTTGGCTGCTTGTGCTCTTTAGGTCAGACGTGTGTCGGGAAGCTCCTCTGTTGTTTCAGACGCTGGGGGAACCGTCTGATGGGGGAACGTGGCTCCACCTAACACCGCTCTCTGTTTAATGCTGGATGAAATAAAGAAAGTGGCGGTACTTTATCTACTTTGAGCAAGCGAACGTCATGTTCACAAGATAATTAATCCAGCAGATAATTCAGAGGCGGTCTGTTCGGTAAATTTTACTCCAGGAGCTGCGAGGCTTGTTTTCAAGCTTCAGACTGAACTGAAGCAGCGGCTGCTGACGTCATTACGCTCTTGCGCGATGCTGCGTTCAGGACAAGCATGGAAAACTCACCACTCTTATGCCAATACGGTCACAATGATGCATTTAGGTACCGAAATGGAATTGCATGAACATTCGCCTGGTGGTTATGTAATACAGCGAATCGATAATAAAATATCTGCGTCGACAAATTTACATAATCGACGTCATCGATTATTTCAACTAATCGGTGCAGCCCTAACAAATTGTGATGTTAGGAGGCAGTGTGAGTATTTCAGAGACAGAACACAAAGAGTGACGGTCGGTGACACGAGTCCAGTGTGTCGACTTAAATGAAGTTCAGTGTAAAGCACACAAGTTACAGTCATAAGATCCTGATGAACTAACTGAATGTTTTGATTTGAATGGATAAATAACACAAAGTGTTGATACTTAAATCCTAACAAAYGTACGGGGAAATATTTTTTTATTATTATAGTGTTTATTCATTTCATTTTAAAAACAAAACAAATAAAATAAAATGAAAGGCAGCAGAAGAAAAAAATCTTATCTGCTCCTATTTACAAAAAATTATATTAATTCAAATAATAAATTAAATAATAAAACAAAAAATTCAACTCCTCAAATAGTAACTCATACAAATACAAATAAAACAAATTCAATTTAGCTTTGATCATTTTTAAAGGAATTAATTGCTCCAATGCTAAAATCATTTTCCAGATTATTCTATAGTCTTATACCTTTTACTGACGTGCATCTGTCCTTCAGATTTGTTTGGATTTTCTGTTTAACAAACATTTGTCCCTTCAAATCATAGCAGCTTTCCCTTTTAACAAAATGTGTTTGGATATTTGAAGGTAACACATTTTTATGAACTTTATACATAACCTGCAGAATATGATATTCAACCAACTCATAAAATTGTAATAATTTTAATTTATTTATAATTTTAATATATTAGATGGGTGATAGTAATGCTTCCTTGTAATAATTCTTATGGCTCTTTTTTTGTAAAATAAAAATAGGATTAGTAATTGTTTTACATGCATTTCCCCAGACTTCTATACAATAAATAAAATGTGGAACAATTATTGCATTTTATAGTGTAAATAGTGCTTTAAATAACTCCTTAACTTGATACAATACTGCAAAAACAGGTGAAGGATGGTAAAAATGCCGACTCATCATTCACACTGCTTAAATCTAAACTGTCTTTGTGGAGCACTGAAGACGGTCCTGTTTACTTCCTGGCTGTGGAACATGTTTTCACCCTGCCATGTAAAATGTGAGGCTCTTGATTTGCAGCGACGCTTCAGATTTCCACCGGACTGAGACCAAACCCAGGGTCTGCTGCTCACAGGTGGACGATGTCACATTTCTGTGCATGTGTGACATACGTGACGGTAGAAGTGTGTGTTGGAGCCATATGTGCTGCAGTATGTGTGTGTGTGTGTGTTGATGTTGCTGGGTGAAAAGCTCTATAGTTAGGCCCCTCCCTCCCTGTCCCAACGTTACCATGGGGACAGGAGGTAGCCATGTGTGTTTGCGTGTGAGGTTATAGTCATCACGAGACGCCGCTGCAGCAGAATGAACCGGCCCGTTTCTCCTCCCTCCATCGTCTGTGTTTAGTCTGTCTCCYTCTGGTCAGACGGGTTGTTTTCAGTCAGGACGGCGAGCTGAGAGCGCGTGAATGAAACCCGTGGAAYGTCAGACGGTTCTGCCTCGGACTTCCAGACCTGCTTGTTTCCTGTGTGTGTTCTGTACTGTGGATTTGTTTGTTTGTTGTTACAGCTGGTTTCATGTTGGTTCAGTTTCCTGTGTGACGTTTCTGTGTTGACAGTTTTATTCTTTCATTCATGTTTGAATGACTTTTTTYTTGTTTTTGWTTTTTGCTGGAACAGCCGAATGACACGGCTGGTAAATGTTGCAGTTTGTTTTTCTATCATTGAGCCCGTTGTTGTCCTCATGAATGTGACCTTGTTAAAGAGGATTTTAAGCTTTTAAATAATTTTGTACTCTCAGCACAATGAAATATCCCAGGGCTATGAAGCTTTAACTTTGGGAATTAAAAACAAGCAGTCATCAAAGACCTCATCGTGCCAATGGGTGGAATAAGTCAACTCAAAATAACTGGAAAAACAAATAAGAAATGTAAACAGCATCTGTCGATGACACTTGTAGATCAAAACGAAAAAAACGTAGTTCCTCTGGATGGGTTCTTCTTTAGTGAAACGTTTCGTCTCTCATCTTTTTTTTTTTCTTTTTGATTTTTTCTACCTGGATTACTGAGATGCATCAGGACAACACTTGTAGATGTTGTAAGAACTGGGTTGTGTGTTTATTATTACTCATCTRTGGTCAAAGAAAAACAACTTAAAAGCACAGAAAGCTCAAATTATTTAATGTATTTATTTGTTTGATATATAAATTTAACATTGTTAATGTTAATCTTTGAAGAAGCTCTTTTTTTCTGTTCTCAAACCAGATCGTGATGGTCTGAATCTAAATTTCAAAACTCAAGTTATGAAACCAGTGGGTGACGTCACAGTGGTTATTATGGTCTGTGTGAGTTTTGAGTAAGAGCCGATGGCTGTTTGCAACTACAGCTGTAAATATTTRTGAGTCAAGCTGCAGTACAGATTAGGGTTGGGCATAATCGTATCGTGTGCAATTAATCGCCAGAAAAACATTAATCAATTATTTTTTGGCACTTGATRATTAATACAATTAATGCCAACAGGCAGAGTCCGCTTGGTGCTCCTCTCCGCTTCAGATGTGACGAACATTTAAAATAAAAGTTCTGTAATTTATTTATTTATCAACACAATATAAAATTTGATAAGTCTGACGTCTTTAATTTTGACACAATTTGGAACAGATTTTTATGAATAGCAAATCTTTCCTACTAAATTGATCATGTGACTAGGACATAAGGATGTCGAGGGACTACAGGGGTTAGTCGTCAAATYAATCGTTATCGACTAAATACCACAATTAATCGTGATTAATTTTTTTGCCAATATTGCCCAACTCTAGTACAGATATGTGAAAATATATATTTTTGCCATAATTAAGAATTCCATAAAGGTAAGGTTTATTTATATAGCACTTTTCAGCAGCAAGGCCATGCAAAGATWCAAGATAGTGATTCCGTTAATGACAGATTAGCTTGACTGCTACGATTCGAATGTTTGTTCCTCCCTTTACCCACGTGATTCTTACCTGTTGTGTCGGTGTGTCAGTTCTACCTGCAGGACACTAAAAGCAGCAACGGGACGTTCATCAACAGCCAGAGGCTGAGCCGCGGCTCGGAGGAGAGTCCGCCCTGCGAGGTCCTGTCCGGTGACATCATTCAGTTTGGCGTCGATGTCACCGAGAACACACGCAAAGGTCTGTGCTCGCACTCAGAGTAACAAAGTGTTTTCAAGTGTGGCTGCTAATGTACACACAGTCCTAAAACACATCCCAACTTTCAGTGAAGGCTTTGGGCTTGTCAAGCTGAGGTCAAACAATAAAACAACGTGCTCAATCAAAGCAAATATTGACAGAATTTTATCTCTGCCTACGAGTGAACCCAGGGCCGTTCAACCTGGACCAGACCTCCAGCATACAGGACGACACACACAGCTTAATCTGTGGAGAATTATAGTTAACCTGAATTTAAAACAAAACTACACTGGATGGTTTCATTGAAATCATTGATTCTGCTTCTAAAAACACTGATTAAATTCTAGTAAAAGATATCCCAGAGCTCAGTCAGATTCTGGCAGAAAATTAGTGCAGGTTTTTTTAGTTTATTAAAAAAACTACTCTATGCATCTCTATTCTGTAAAGACAGAAATAAAGTTTAGAGTTCCATCTTTATGCTGGTTATAAATTAATTTTAATATGTTGAGAAACACTCCCTCAGTAACAAAATGAAAACAGTGAGTAAATCTGCCTTTTTGATGGCTTCATGGAATTTTCCAGATATTTAGTGCTGCTCTCCAGGAGAAAAAAACAGATTTCTGCAACCATCTGAGAAGGGTGTGTKCAAGAAAAATGTTTTTATATCAACAAGTAGTGTAGATTCTAAGCTTTCTACACATATAAAACACTTGRAATTGAATATAGCAAATACAAAAAGGGAATCCAAGTTTCAGTTTGATAGTGATTTTCATCCTGAAAAACACATCACAACACCCCCCCCCCCCATTCTTGGTAATCTGAAAATAATCTGCCCCGATGGAAGCAGATTGCTCAATAAACACAATAATAAATCCACTTTTGGTTAAAAATCATTCTTGTTTTAGTTAAAACATGTTTTATAGATTTAAGTAAAGCTTTTATCCAATAGAAACAATTTTCTGAAAGTTAGTCTTTAGCAGCCGCGTCCGATCCGTGTCCGGTGAACAGAGTGGGGGATCCGATAAATGAATCAAGTGTTTTCTCTGTCCTCTTTCACGATTTTTCAGAGAAACTGYGCTGAAAACATCCTTTAGTGTGCAATTACTTGAAATCTGCTCACTGGAGTTGACAGAGGGTCATATTTTGACTGTAAAGAGTCTGAATTTAGGTCTTTAATACGTATTAATTCTGTCATTTTATTTTTGGTGCACAAATGCACACTGAAAGATGGTTCCAATGTGCTCTCCTGTGTGTTTACTGTATTTACTGTACACACATAAAAACACACACACACACACACACTTGTTTTTTCACAGAGTCAGCAGCTGTGATTCTTAACAGATTTACTAAATGTAATAATTAATCTGTTTTATTTGTTATCAGCTGCATTTTATTTAGGTTCTATCAAACTAGTACTGATTTCAAATAGTTTTTATGTTTTTACATTAAAAACTTCAAAAGCATTACAACATATTAGCTGTCTAATCAAACTTATAACCAGGTTTTATTAGTAATGATAGAAATATTCATAAATAATACAAATTTTATTTAAACATTTACCTTTACAAAAGGTAACGGTTGATGTTCCCACAGACAAGAAGTCTGCCTAACAGTAACAGAATGATTATGACATCATCTTCCTCCTCCAGACTCCAGAATTTGCAGTTTTTCTGTCTGCGCCTCAGAACAAAGACCGATTTAATTGCCACAAAGGGCAGAAAACCTGCACAGTCCAAATTTAGGGTCCACTAATAAGAGGAAGGGTGCTCATCCTAAGCTTATAGACAATGGCTGGGCTGTAATGTGGATGTATTTATACGTTTAATAATCAGGCACAGATGGAGGCAAAGGAATGCCTTTCTTCTTTTTGTTCTCATGTGTTCATTCACGTCTGTCAGCAGCTCYATTCCTCTTGTTCCATTAACTCAAAATACTTTTAACACAAGTAGAATCATAGTCCTTGTAAAACTCTTGAGACTTGAAAGCAGCTTACAGGTCTGAGGAGAAAGTTCTACACCCTCATGTCACACAAACTATAATTATAAAGATGCTGTAAAAGTGTCTCAGCAAGCATAAACCTGCATCCCTGTGAGACTAGAGTTTCAAGTTAAGATGCAGTKTAAGGATTTATTTTTTATATTTAATGCATGAATGTTTTCATCAGGACRCTTTTCATGGATTTTTGATCCTGATCTGCAGAAATAAGTCTTACAAATGATGCGTACTGTTTAACGAGGAGTTGTTTTTATTAACATGTTGTTTTGTGTGTCTTCAGTCACACATGGCTGCATCGTGTCAACAATCAAACTCTTCCTACCTGATGGGATGGAGTCACGCCGGAGAAGCGAGTAAGCATTGTTTTTATTTTGTAGATTTAATGTGTATCACTAAGTGGATGGTACTTTGAACCAATTATTAAATATTTTCATGATTTGTTTTTTGGTTATTCTGATTCATTCACAGCGTTCATGCAGGGTCTTAAAAAGTCTAAAAAAAAAGTCTAAAATTTGAAAATCAAAATTTTAGGCCTAAAAAAGTCTTAAAAACGCCCAGATTTTCATTCAGTCTTAAATTTAATTTAGTCAAGTCTTAATTTTTTTACTTTTGATCATTCCTGAGAAGCGTTGGCTGCATAAACAGAGTAAAGCTCTGTAATCAGAGGTTGACTTGATCTATCTTCATGAAGTGCTAAGTTTGCTACTGATCTCAGTCTGTGGTTAAACTATAAATCCTGTGATAACTGCAAGAAAAAAAAGCACAGTTTACTTCCATGTTTTCAAC